TGAGAAATTGGGTCATGACATTTTTATTTTACCGATGGTATTAGCTGTGAACCATCACAACGGTATACACATTACAAATTCTATGTACAGTAAAACAATTTATATTCATCCTGAAAGGAAAATATTTACCTTTGATTTTAATTTGGTTATACGTGTGGACCTTAAAAAGATACAAATTGTATTTTCACTTCCTTTGTTTGAAATATTTTTTTTTTCCCTCCTGGGAAAATAGTTATTCAAACAAAGTTATCATCCACGTATATTAGATAAGACTTATGTATTTAATCATTAGTATATACTTAGGAGATATGTACAAAATATTTATGAGGTCAACATGGTTTATGGTCACCCATATACAACAGGTAATCCGAAGTGAAGCTGATTTAACCAGACATGCATCTTCACTTCCAAAATAAAAAAAAAAATGTAATGGATTTTCCACCAAATGCTTGGGAGTGCCACTTACAATGGAATGGGATTATAACATTGACATGCCCTGTACAACAGCGCCACCTTTTATAGGAAAGATTTTTTCTGTTCGGTGCAAGCGGCATTGTTCTTTTATTCAACAAGCTGCCCCAACTTCCACATATTAAAGCCCTTTAAAATATTTCTATGCAGACATAAAACAAACAGGTAACGTTAGGCTTCTGAACACTGGAAGGATTGAATCTGGTAAAAAAAGGAATCTGTAAGATTTTATTTGTATACCTGTACTTGTTATGGTCATGCCCTAAAATAAACAAAATTGAGCCATCTTGTTCTACAGGATCCAAGATGAAAAAATGTCAAATAATTGGAAGTGGTATGGAAGAAATATAAACCCTTTTTACAAAGCATTTTAATACAGTATATTATTTAGAGGATTGGGTGTCTGTCTTCAACTGTTATACGTAAAGTTTGGCAATAAAGGAATCTCTGTAAAAAGTCAAAAACGACACAAGTGGACTTGCAGTCCAGTTCTCCTTCATGAAGGTTATCCTTCATCCAGGTCATGGCAACTGAACCATCGCGTTCTCAAACAATTCATCCCCACACAGCTACATCCCTCATGTATCACTTCCCCCCTCCCTTTTAGATTGTAAGCTCTCACGGGCAGGGCCATCCTTACCACCTTGTCTTGAATTGTATTTCTAATTGTTAACGTTGCACCGATACCAAGTACAGTGCTCGGTACAAGTACAGATACTTTTCCAGCTCCAAGACTAGACTAGAGAAAAATAAAAAAGTTAGGAGGCCGCTGTCATTTGTAAGGATCACGCGGAGCTCCCGGGATTTGTACATCTCTGTTTTAATGTACGATTTTGTTTTTATAAATATAAAATAAAGGGATGCACCGATACCATTTATGCAAGAACAAGTACTGATACTTGCCCAAGTCGTCACCGATACAAGTACTGATACATTTTTGTTTATTGACATGTGACAGTTTTTCTAAAACAATACGGACTAATGACTTAAGGACAGTGGTGGAGCGCCAGAGCCCGGTCCCAGCTGCACCCCTAGTAGTTCTCATGAAAATGGCAAGTATCGGCACTCGTATTTGAGCTGGTATTGGTGCACCCCTAGTAATTGTAATGCCTTCCTTATATTGTAAAGCGCTGTGCAAACTGTTGGTGCTATACAAATCCTGTATAATAATAAATAAATGGACTTGCTGTATTTTTTCTTGACGTTTCGCTGGCCATCTGACTAGCTTTCTCAATTCTGAACTGAGAAACTTCTAGGCATCAATTCTGAATTGAGAAAGTTAGTCGGATGACAAGTGAAACGTCTTCAAGAAAACAAAAAACACAGCAAGTCTAGTTGCCTTGATTTATTTGTTACAGATATACCATGACCTGGTGGTTGAAAGAGAACCTTCATGAAGGAGAACTGGACTGCAAATCCAGTTGCCTTGATTTACTTTTTACAGATATACCATGACCTGGTTGAAGGAGAACCTTCTTGAAGGAAAACTGGACTGCAAGTCTAGTTGCCTTGATTTGCGTTTGACAGATATGCCATGACCTGGATGGGTCAGAACCGTCACAAAAATAAAGGAATCTGCCACAGAAACTGCAGCGTTTGTTTATAATGAAAAAAGATCCACTTCGGTTCCTTTTTTGTTTTTTCTACATTGCATTTACAGGATTTTGACACAGTTTTTTTTCCCTAAACAGAAAATATACTAAAAGCACAGGAAAAAGATTTAATACACAGCATATTTTATTTCTTTTTCAATATCATTTTTGGCTCAACAAAAAAGGGCAGTCCGACGTTTTCCAGTTTTGGTGGTCTGCTTTTCACACAAAAATCTACCACAGTTTTTTCAGCCTGTCTAACAGAAGGATATGTGCATTAAAAACAAGGCTTACGTACGTAGAACCTTGCCAACAGTCCAATGCTTAGCATAAGGAGCACCATACACAACGAGGCACATCTTCATAATTCTAGTATTTAGCGTGATGACAAGAGGGGGGT